TATATATATAGCATAGGCTAAATGTTCTCCTAATATTCTGTAATATTCTCCTAAAATGCGCTTTATGTCCATTTTAGTTCCTGGTTTTTCTCAGGACATGTTGTGAAAAAAAGAAAAAACTCCACCTCCCATGGTGCATTTCGAGGGGGGCGTCGTCGGCGCACATGTGCACACGCTGCATAGCGAGCATGAAGTGAAGTGTTAATAAGTGGACAATAATATTGGAGTTTCGTGGCGTCTCCGGTGCAGCAGTCAGTCGGACATGATGGCTTCAGAGGAGGACGACGCGCTGCTCTTCCTCATCTACCAGCACCTGAAGATGAGCGGCTTCAGCAAAGCCGCCAGGCTGCTGGAGAAGCACGTCTCCCAGGTAAGACCTCTGTCTGGTCCTGCTGTGGTCACCTGGAGCCCGACCCGGTGCAGAGCCCATAGAGCTGGGTTCTGCTCTGCTCATTTGTGCTAAAGCTGAATAGCCGTGCTTTTGTTGGTACACCTTAAACAGACATGCGCGTTTTGCATATTATATAAGAGCTTAATTAAATATAAATGTGTGTTTCTGCCTGTCAGACAGCAGCACTGCAGCCTCACTGTGTGCTGCAGCATGTGGCTCCTTGTTCAGGCCTCCTGCAGAAAAAGAACATTATGTTACAGAAGCTGCATGGTCGTAAACTGAGCCCTGCTGCAGGCCCTCTGACACCACGTTCACAACCTCTTCACCGTCCTGTAGGATTTGGTGACTAGAGCTGTTAGTTTTTAATTAAATGCCCCATATTAGCAGTTATTAGCAGATGCATCAATGAGCTGATCCGCAGAGAACTAATCAGCAACTATTTTGAGAATCAGTTGATCAGATGTGATGATTTAACAAAACATTTCACGGTTCTGGGTTCATAAATGAAAGAATTTGCTGCTTTTGTTTTGTGTTCCATCAGAGCACTTGAATATTTTTGGTTTTGCCCTCTTGGTGAGACATTTAATGACTCCACGTGGTGCTCTGACAGAAAGTTTTCCCAGTTTTCTCATATTTTATTCAATGCAATAACATAATGTAACACTGGTGTAGTAACAAGTTCTGTTTTATGTGCATTTTTACACACTGTTAGCGCTGCAGCTTATGCACAATGATCCATCCTGTCACATCTGTACATGTTGTGCTCAGCCTATTATGTCATAGTGCTTCAATGTTTTTTCTCTTTTACCCTCGTGGTGAGAAATCTGATGACTCCACATGGTGCACTGATGGAACGTTTTCGCTCCTTTCTGGATTTAATAGATCATTTGATAATAAATATAAAATGAGATAAGCGTTAATGATCTCTCACTCAGCAGCTAGGGGAAAAAAAACATAGTAAACAAAAAGAAAAGAAATACAAAAATAGAATAAACATAAAAATAATACACTATATACACCTTTTAAATGTACAAATATGACATGTGGGTAATTGAACTGTAGGACACATGGTGCATAGAATTATAAAAGTAAAGAAACAAAGATGACTTGTGATGAATCATGAAGAGATACAAAGATATGATTATTAATTGCAGCCATAAAATGTTCAATTTTTGTTCAAATGCAAAGTTAGGATGCCAGCAGACATATTCAGAGACTGTGAAATAAACGGCCTCCTCGTGAGCAAAGTTAAACGTTGAGCTGTTCAGGCTGGTTATGTGAGCAAACGTACACGTTGTTTTTCCAGTTGTGCTGCTGCTGCTGCTGCCTACAAAACTTCACATTTTTCTTGCACGTACATGCACAAAGAATGTGCCATTTCTTACATTAGGAAACTTGAGCTCTGGTCAGTTGCAAGTTTCACATTTCAGGCTCTCAGGCTAAAAATATCTTTTGTCAAGAGCTGGTGACGGAGTTTAAGGATCATATGAAATACATAAAGATGGTCTCAAAAACATCCTGAAAAGGTAAAGCTGCCTTACTTGGTGCTATTTTAATATTGTGAGTGTCATTCCTCTGTCTGATCTTTTCATCCCTCACGTGCTCTCATATTGCTGGTTGTGTATATGTTGCCTGAATTCACATCTGGCATCAAAGTGGCAGCATTCCTGAAGCACAGGAAATTTGTTCTCTCCCTTTCATCTGTCTTTTTAAAAAAAAATCTTTTGCTGTGTGCGTCATTATTGTTGCATTACAGGAATATTGTCTTAATTATAGATGTGACATTCAGGGCACCACTAAAAAAATGTGCTTGGAAATTTGCTTTTAAGACAGAAATTTGGAGAATGTTGAGAAAATGTGACGCTGTTGTTTCTGTTTAGGTGGAGACACCAGAGGAGAGTTCTAACCTACATGACATCTACACAGGCTGGATGAAGTAAGTCAGATGTTTTGCACATATAATAATAGACTATCACTCAGATGATAACTGAATTCACCAGTGATGAGAATAATTATTAGAAAATAGCAACAAGTTCACACGCCAGGTAAATAAATGAGTTGCATTATATGTGTTTTTGTATATGCTGTACAAAGCTGGTGTCCAATAAGTGGCTGTTCAGGTCGATGATACTGAGTCAGTGCTTTGCAGGTGAGCATGTGTGGATCTGAAGGTCGTCTCCGATTAATATCAGGTTTTTTTTTATTTTGTTAAAATGTCAATATTGTGATTTATTTTTTTTTAAATGCTGGAAGTAAGCAGTCAACGCCAGTGCAGAGCATTTCCAGTCTCAAACACACGGCTGTTTTTCTAATCGCATGGGGAACTTTCAACAGGGGCGGCAGGATGGAAACACAGAAAATCGTAGAATGGCACAAAAAGACATAATTTAATGTCAGATATTCTATTAAGCAGTTGTTGTACAGAGGTTATTTGAAAACTGTTAATAAACTCAGAGGAAAGACTCCTACAAACAGCTGGAAGCGACAAACCAAATTTCAGCTCCTGTTGATACCAGGACCTGAAGAGGTTCTCCATCTTCAACCTGATGGCGCCGTGCATAAATACAGCGCCCCCTTCAGGAGACAGCGAGAGTGAACGTTTAGTGTGAAACGCTCTCTCGTCTTGCCTGCACTGCTGTGTATGTACAGCAAATTGACAATAAACCTGATTTGAATTTTGAAAGTCATTGGTGAGCTGGTGTGCTCCAGCTGCAGGGAGTGGGGGGGTGGGGGGAAGGCAGGAACTTCATAGATCCACACAATCAGAGAAAACAACCTTGTAGCATCGGAGAGAAAAGCAAAAAGAGCTTATTTCCTGGACAAACACTTCTTAATGTGTAACTTTGATAAAAAGAGACTATTTCTTAGCGGTTCAATCAGTGACTGATGAAACAGAATCAACTAAAAAACAAACCAAACAAAGAAAACAAGCCCCTGAATCCAGCCAGAACCAAAGGAACCTAAAAGCTAATAATGGTCTAAAGTGGGTTGAAGCCAAACGCAGAGTAAGTGCCACGTTTTGCCTCTAGACTTTATTATTGATCACTTTGAGGTTTTCTCATCTTTTTTTTAATCTTTGTATTTTATGGCTTTTGCTTTTTGGAATCACAGCAGCTCAGCAGGTAACGCAGTCCCAACACACACTCCTCTCAGAAGGATTGTAGACTCCAGACTGTCTGTACAACCAGCATGCCACTGGTGCTCTGTGTGTGTTGGTGTGTCTTCCTGTGAATGGCCGCCTGGCCTCGTGCCCAGTGCATTCTGGGATTGGCTTCAAATCCCTGCTACCCTGATGAGGATTAACTAGGCAGCCGATGAATGACTAAACGAATGACATCAGCCGGTGCACATCTTACACTAAAACAATGCACATTTTAGCAAATCAGGGAAAACGTTTTGTATTACTCTGATTTTTCCAACCTCTCAATATGGACACAGAATGTTAACCCCACGTGTGTGTCGCTCGTCCAAGTATGTTTTTAAGTTAAAATAATTCTTCCCTCGGCTAATGAGTCACTCATACATTCCCCTGTCAGAATAATTTTCTCTGCTTCGTTTCTTCACTAAAGATGTCAAGAGACACTCATCAGGAATTTATTTTCTTGTCAGATGAGCCTTCAGGACCTCCTGTGGGTTAAACTGGGACTCTCAAATGCCTTTAGCATGGACGGACTCAAAGACAGCAGGCAGCTGCAGGTCTGCCGTCTGTCATAACTTAGAATGACTCAGACAGCACGTTTAACCTGAATATTTTGTACATTTAAAAACTCTTACAGGAGGCACTATAGGATAAATCCAGCAATATCAGTATTTCTTATACTAATATTTTTACTTGCAGAAGAATATGTGGAACACCATTGATATGTGTAATGTTGTTATTTTCCACATTCAGATGATTTTTTTTATCAATGCAATATCTGGATGTCCACCCACAGAAGAATACAGACTTGTGTATTTATTATTTTATTTTTCATTTCAGTTCCCAACACATTTTGCCCTTTTTGCTGCATGCTGTGACACTGCTAATTACCCCACTGTGGGATTAATAAAGGCTGATCTTATCTTACCTTATCCTAGCTTAATATTTATAGTGTTTATATGTACAGCTGAAACCAGAGGTTTATGTACACTGTATAAAAGTCACATAACCTTTTTTTTTTCTCACTGTTTGGCATTAAATCAGACTAAACTCTTCCTGTTTTAGGTCAGCTAGGATTACCACAATTATTTCTATTTGCTAAATGCCACAATAATGTAAGAGATTTTTTTTAAATTACTTTCTTCAAAAACAGGAGTTTACATACACTAAGATTACTCTGCCTTTAAACTATTTGGGAAAGCCCAGATGATGATGTCATGGCTTTGGAAGCTTTTGATAGGTTGACCTGACACAGGAAAAGTTTAATCACATTTAATGTCAGACAGTGAGAAAAAAAAAAAAAGATTTTGTGTCTTTTTATATCGTGTATGTAAACGTCTGGTTTCACACCTGAACACATTTTAGACTAAACTGCTACAGAACCATTATTGTTATTATCCAATCCTAAGGATGCATTGTCCACAGAGACAGTAAACTAACAATAAAGAAAAGTCTATTTATGTAACACCTTGTATACATGCAATGCAGCTCAAAATGCTTCAAGTTCAACTGTATGTTAAAGATAATAAACTAGCAAACAACAACTTTGTGGTCTCTCTAAATCATCTCGGCTACGTCCAAAGTCAGTGAGTCATAAAATGCATTGTTTGTACATTGCAGGCTGTGCTCTCTGGCCCAACATGCCAAGCAGGAGGCAGAAGACTCAAACAATCTGACGAAGGAAAGCATCAAACCAGAACCTGCCACCAGCGAAGAAGAAGGTGCTGCAGACACCGAGCCCTCCAACACCACCGAAGAAGATGACAAAGATGCCAAACCTCTACTCGGTAAACTTTTATATGTTTCTTTTAGTCTGTCTTGAGCGCGTTTCTCTGTTTTATGTTTTTTTTTATTACTATTTTCTCACATATAATCGATGAAACAATCAAGAAGTTGCAGCACTAATTTTTATGTTCACATAATTTCTGCTTTTCTACAACACTTTGTTTTAAAAGTACAAAACTTTCCTTTTTTCAGCTTAATATTTCCACATATACTGAAACAAGACATCAAAGTCAATTGCAGTAGTCTCACTTAAACATTTTATACATATTCTTTAATATTTCCCAGCAGGTATTATACTGTATTAATGTTTCCACCAGCAAATTTAACTCCAATTTAAAGCATAAATGCTCTCTTCTTTCAGAGTCCAAAGCAGATGTTGTCGACTCATCCGGTGCAAACGAAGACGCTGAGAAAGACTCTGAGCAGCTGCTGGATGCTGCTAATAAAACCCAAACATCAAACTCGGACAGCGAGAGCTCCGACTCCTCCGACAGTGAAGAAGAAAAGACGAAGCAGCCGGAGACAAAGCAAGAGGTGAGCTCGTATCGTTAGGAACGGGTTTGTTTGTCATTAGATACATAACAGCGTACTGACAAATTACACATGAACACAGTCGCCACACTGCAGCAGAGAAGCAGGTTATGATTTAAAACCTTTTATTTTGGAATCCTTAAAACATCAGAGCAATTAAAGATGTCAAAAGAAATCTTAACCTCTGCTGCCTAAACGTCCGTGTGCGTTGTTTTCCTTCTTACTTCAGTGTCCTCTCACACCTTTTATTGCTGCGATCCGTGTGCTGCTTTAGTTCTTTAGTGCAGCTGTTTAGCTCCGTTGCCAGGAGATGAGATCGGCACCTCGCGCTGACGTACGCAGCAAAAACGGAGAACAATGAGCTCGTGGGGATGTGCGCAGAAGTAAAAATGAGAACCTTTCAACAGAGACAATTGTGTGGCATCAAGGAAGGCAAACAGACTTTTTGTGTCTCTGTCATCGTAATCACTATTTGTGCGCTCGTGTACGTGGATTTGTGTTTCTGACGGTTGTTTCTGTAAAGACTTTGATGTGAGTTTTGCTCGACACTCTTGTTCAGGCAGATTTTAGATTAAACGCTCCCAAAATGTGACTCAGCTGCCTGTATGAACAAGCCCTTAAAGACCTGAATATCCTTGATCATCAACATAATCTAAAATTATACTTCAGACTATAAATTAGAGAAAAGGGAAGCAGCCACATGTTAAATTCCACGTCATAGCTTCTCCTCTTGGTCCCTGTTTGACTCCAATATTAACTGTCCTGTAAAGAATTTTTAAAAAGTCTCCATTTGTCCAATTACAGTTTTGAATATCTTTATTCTTATGAGGCAATTTTGATTCTTTATATTTATTTAGAGTAATTATTCAGCAATAGTTTTACCTGTACAGTAATACTTTTTATGAAATTTTAAATCCATTAGTTTGATATAGTTGAGTGCAGCTCAAATACACACAATGTAGTGAGTAGTAACATTTATAAAACAAACTTCCTAAATGTCCCACAAGGCTTTGCACCAACTTTTAATGCACGGATATATTTTTAACCTCTATTCTGCAGCACTGCAGGTGTGTTGACGCCAGCGTCTACGTTTTCTATAACGGTTCTCAAAATCGTTTGCAACTTACAAGTCACGAACATATGAAAGTCTATAATTGCTACTGTTGTTAAGTAATTAATAAAAATACTTTGCAAACCCACTATCATGGTTTACCTACGAGAAAATGGAAGAAGTGTCTTCTTCAGTTTATTATCCGTGGTTCTGGGATGTTTACATGGAAGTGTTTTAGCACCAAAATGAGGTTTATAAAGTCAGGCGGTGATCGGCCCTCGACAGCTGCTGCAGAAAGTAGCTACAGCTGGAGAGAGAGACTTTTACATAATGAACATCTGGTACATTCCTGCCATTTGCAAACAAGTTGACACAATACTTATTAAAGGGCAATTCTTGCTTTCTGTATGTCCGAAAGTGTCTGCGTGACCTAAGTTTTGTCTTCTGCATGCAGCCCAAACGTTGAGACTTTACGCGCTGCAAACACACCGACTGGACACGCACCAGGAAAACATGGCGCTGAAACAAGTTTTTGAGGACAAGCTGTGCAAGAAGATTCTTTATCATCCACACCTTCATTTAATTCATCATTAGCAGAGTTTTAACTGGAGTTGTTAGTGGAGGACTTTTGAGGTGCTTTGATTTGCACCTGCTTTCCATTGATGGAGCCAAAACACAGTCGCAGGTTCTAAGTTCTCCAGAAGTCCTGTCCTACGTCTGGCCCCTGTGCTCAATAAAACTCTTTAATATTTAATGAGGCTGCCTCGTATGAGAAGGATGAACATATCCAAAAGCTCCAAACAGACTTTCGCACAGTGTTTAAGGAAAATAGTTATTCGTGATTGTTTGGTGCTGGATCTTCATCGGGGAGATTGTTTGTTTCGATAAGAAGCTGTCCTCAATAAGGAGTTGGTGTCAGTCTGCACCCCATCACATTCCCCACATGCTATGGGGGTCCTTGAATCCCAAACCATAATCCTACTAATGACAGTTTTCAATAAAATACAGAAATTTAAAAACACTCTGTATAATAACAAATCAAATGTGCTGCCAAAACATTTTTTTTTTTTTACTGTGAGTGGTTAAATTATTATAAAGTGAATCTTTAAAACCCCACAAAGGCCAAAGCAGATTCCCAGAATCTATTTTTGGGAATGCAGGTCTAGCACTGAAGCATTATGAATAAACGGATTCTTGCAAGTTCAACAGTATGGGGGAGTCTGAAACAATAAATAACATAAAATATCAACAACAAAAAAGTAAAGTAAAACCAGTCAAAGTCTCCTGGAAAAAAAAAAATAACAATCATGCATTTCAAAAATGAATCAAACTAAACTATAGCAGGATTAAAAGCTACAGAGGGAACATTAATCATGACTTCCAAGAATTTAACAAACCATATCTAATTAATGAGACATTTTAAAATGTTTATGATGTTAGAAACACAAACTCTTTAGTCCAGAGTTCCCTTAGAAAGGCTGCGGGGCAGGAAAGGCTTCTGTAGATGATGATTAATGCAGTAATATTTTTATCCTGGTTTTGTGTTTTCACAGCCGACCCCGGTCTGCTAAGGTAACGAAATGTGACGGTAAAATAGAACACAAAGCTATTTAGTAAGGAACTTTCAGTGGACATTGTTACAGCAGGAGGAAACCAGTGGCATAATGAAAACACACACTCACATAGCTGTTGTCCAGCCACTGTAATAATGTGCTGATAGGTGGACAGTAGCTGCAGTGTTTTTATTATATGCCTCTGAAACACACACAGACACATTTCATGTCCACTCTGTCTGTTGTGTATCTGCTGGTTCACCCTGTTGGTATTGCTGCTGTGTGATTGTAAGTCTCGTCTCTGTTCTTTTATGTGGGCCCGCTGATGCAGTCGATAATGCTGTTTGGACAGAGACTCTGTGTGTGTGACAGAGCGATAATCTTCTGAGACAAATTGTGTGCGTTGCTGTCAGCGTGTGAAGGCTTCATTCTGTCGACAACTGCTGGAAACAATGATTACTTTGCTTTGTGTCTGATGGCAAAAGAGTCGCGTTTTTTTTTCCTCTCTGCTGAGACGAGTGCAGCAGCAACACGGCAGGTTTTTAACAGAACAAAGATGTTTCGACTGAATTCAAAGCAGATAGAGTTTTTGTTTTAGTTCCTTTTGTTCTGATAACGTGAGCTGATCAAATTAAATCTGGCCCATGTGCAGAGGACAGGATTAATGCAATCTGCCAAACAAATTGGACATTATGTGTCTAAAACGTTTAGTTTTTGGGGGATACTTGCTCTGATTCCTCTTTGCAGCAGAGCGACGTCGTTCCAAAACTATTAAAAACACAACAGTGAGCAACACTCAGTCTCATTGTCCATCATAATGCTACTGGGAATACTGAGAATCACACTGTGTTCTCTTTCCGTGCCTATTAAATGTATTCACCCCCTCTTGGAAGTTTTTATATTTGTTTGCTTTTCAACATTGAGGTGTTGTAAATTTAATTAGGTTCTTTTGAAAAGAATTTTCAAAAAGACAAAATTCTACAAAACAATGCCAAATAACTAAAAATATAAATTGTAGACTAAGTAATTGCGTAAGTGTTCACCCCCTTCAAATCAGTATTGGTGGTCGTCGACGCACCTTCAGCTGCAGTTGTAGCATTGAGCCTGTGTGGATGGATCTCAATCAGCCTAAACATATGGATACTGCAATTTTAACCCAATCTCACAGGGATCGTGAGTGAACAGCCCTTTTTATGTCCAGCCACAAATTCTCAGTTGGATTTAGGTCTGATTCACTCTAGAACATTCACCTTTTTGTCTTTAAACCATTTCTGTGTGACTTTAACAGATTTTAGTGCTCTAAAAAATAATATTCTACCAAATCACAGATCTCTAAGAGACATCTGCTTGTCTTTCAGGATTTACCTACACTTTGCTGCTTTTGTTCGACCCTTTACGTGATTGAAAGCCTTTCAGGGCCTGCTGCTGAGAAGCATTCTCACACCATGATGCTGCCGCCACCATGCTTCATGATGTGGATGGTGTGTTTTGGTCTCTCAGACTAAAGAACCTTCTTCAAGTTGGCTTCAGAGACGCCCACATACCTTCTTGTGAACTCTAGTTGAGATATAACTTAACTTTTTTTTTTTTTTTCCAGCAGTGGCTTTCTCTTTGCCACTTTCCCTAAAGCTTTGACAAAAACAAACAAACAGACAGACAGTCTCTCCTATCCCATCTGTTTGTGACTCCTTCAGAGTAGTCATTGGTGTCTTGGTGGCTCCTTCACTGTCTCTCTCTTGATCAGTCTTTCAGTTTTTAAAGACACCTTGTTCGAGGCAGATTTACACGAACAGCATATCACTTCCAGTTCTTGAGAACAGATTTATCTCTACTCTAGTCTCTACTTCCTGACTTGGAAGCTTTCTCGTATCCATCCTCACTTTTCAATATCCTTTTCAGGGTTGCTTGGAGTGTGCTTTTGTCTTCATGGAGTAGTTATATCCAGGAGTGCTGATTTAGCAGTGACTGACCCTCCACATACAGGTGTCTTTATCCCACAGTCACTTGATCATTGCACTCAAATGATCTAAGTTTTACTGATTGCTCAACTTCTTTGGGGTTAACACTATTTTCTACTACTTGACATTACTTTGTCTGTTTTCACTTTGACAGTCTTTTCTCCCGCCGCAAAGTTTTGTCAAAAAAGACGCATTAAATTGACCACGATTCAGTGTTGAAAGCACTAAAAGGAGAAAACTTCCAGAGGGATGAATACTTTTTATAGGCACTGCATAGTGTCCAACAGATGAATCATCCACAGCAGTAAGAGATCCCTTAAGTATCTTGAATTTTGCTTTCTGAAGCCAACAGGTACTCTGAATTCTGTAAATGCTGGGACTCATTTTCAGCTACGCAAGTTCCTCTAACTGGCTGCTTGCACATATTTTGCAGTCAGCTCCTAATGAGGCAACGAGCAAGGCAGAAAGCTCCAGTTCTGCTCCTTCAGACTCTGAAGAAACGGCTGAACCCACCGAGAGCGACTCCAGACAACCTGGCTGTGAGCAGACTGAGGGACACCTGCAGGCCAGAGATCCAGCCGAGGCCTCCGGCTCAGACAGCAGCAAGATGGAGGAGGATGAGCTGAAGCAGGTTGGTGACCCGAGGCGGAGATTTGATCAGTTTTGGTAGTTTTCAATCATTCAAAGCTGCACAACTGTTCAAGCAGTTGAACCTTTGAAACAGAACTTCTGCTCTGTGCCTGCATTCTCATTTTCCTCTCCTCTTGCACAAGACATCACCTCTTTTCTGTGAAGATGTGGCCCTTAAATGTAGCCTGAACAGCAAGCACACATCCATCACTAACAGCATTTCTGGGTTAGAGTCCACTGTTTTAATGCAACATATATTTGACGTTACTCCATCACACTCCAGCGCTTACAGGCTCAGAACGAAGCAGAAATATAAATCACGTTTAATCACAAGTCATAAAAACACGAGTATCTGTTGTTTCTTGGCTTAGCCAAACCTCAGCTCCCTCAGCTCCCTCGCTGCACATCTGAAACTTATTTTGCTGAGGATTGGAACTGGCTGAGCCACATTATTTGTGTTGTTTAGCTTCCAGTAGGCAACACTGCAAGGAGAGTTTACTTTGCTGAGTCATGAGGAGTTTTGTGGTATGTGAAGTTTTGATTAAATGTCACCATGTTAGCGACAAGCCAGTGTCTTTTTCAATAATGTTTAAATAATCAGAGACACGAATGGGAACAGAAATGTCAGCTTTAGTCAACATTTACATTGTTTGTACAATAAGTCGGGTGCCAGTTGGCTTTGACTTCAGGCTGCACATTAAATCCAAACGATAATTCACAATTTAAATTTTTGTGCTTTTCGTGATATTTGCATAAGAAAAAGGAATTTTTATTTGTTTTGTCAAGAGAGTTCAAACTCTCTGCTTAAACACTTCATGACAGATTGTGCAGCAGCTTTATCTGCCAAATACAACTTCCAAGATTCCTCATGAATAATTCTCGTTTGTTAAGCTTTTGTAGTTTTCCCCTCATTTCTATCAGCAACAATAACATTGTATTTACCAGATTAAAGTCTTTTTCATTTAAATGAATGTCTAAGAAGTCACTAATCACTGAATGGTGAATGAGTTTATAGATTACTCATGAATTTATATCAGTTTCATTCACAGTATAATGAACCAGGTGTCTGTGGCACAAAATCACCAACTGCACATAGTAAAGTTTAATTTATAGTTTAATGGATTTGTACTGTAGATGTTCTCCGTGAGAGGTGAATAATGTTTATCTTATATTTGTGCTTTAAACCTTTGCTGTAGCCGTACGTGCGCCTCCCTTAGAACAATGGTATCACATCAGCAGATACTAAATATTAGGATCAGATCACAGGTAGCAAACATTGATCTGGGCTTCTTATTAGCTAAACTGTACTTGGTTTGGTACAACGATGACCTTCCATACATGCTGTGGCTTTGTGCACACGGTTTACCTGTGCAGTGGGAGATACATGTCAGGCATGCGCATATCTGCTTTTACCTTTTAAGTGGTTTGGATTACCTGGTTAAACTTGTAACATGTTTAAACGCATCCCCGTCTGACTTCTCTTTGCAATGCGTCCGTGTTTTTGAGACTTAACTGTGGTTTTATTGAGCACAGTGTTACCATAACAGATCAAAGTCATGGACAAAATGACAAAAACAAGACCCGAGTTCTACTAAACTACAATTATCCTGTAATTCTTACAGAATAAAAGATGAAAGTGGTGTTTTTTTGTGTTTGTTTAAATGTCTTCCAGCCTAATCTGTCTTCTTTCTGCATTCTTTTTCTCGTTTCCAGGGACCACAAGCTGCCATAAACTCCTCAGAGGTCACAGATGCAGCTTCTGCATCAGAGCAGACTGATGCTGATCGAACAAAAGCTGCAGCTTGTGTCACTCAGGAGGACAGCGAGTCCTCAGAGGATGAGGAAGACACAGCTGCAGAGGTACAATATTGATTATTAATTCTGTGTTGTTGATTAATTTTAATGTAGACGCTGGGTATGTTTTTTTATTGCTTAGTATCCCAAAGATGAAACGCTGCAGAGTGATTTCAGTGTTCATGTTGGTCTCATAGTTTATGTCCACATTTTTTAAATCAGAATGGGACAAACTCCCCTTTTTGTGGTTCACACTCACTAGAGACGATCCGATTTGTGTCAGGAATGGAAAAAAGAAAAAAAAAAAAGATGCCCAAGATCTGAGACACTCTCTGTGTCTGATGTTGGAGACACTGTTGACCTGTTGATTCCTCTCGCAGAAGCCCAGCGAGGCCGAGTCCGCCGCAGCAGAACCGACAGCCGAAGAGGCCAATGAGCCGCCGGCAGAGGCCGAAGCCCCGCCCCCTGCAGGTACCAACCACCAATAGGTGTTTGATAACCCGGTTGTTCTTTACCTGTTATGAATGGCATCTTTTCCGTTTCTTTCTCACTGCTCCGAGAAGAGTCGCAAGCTGTTGTGAAGAAAGTTCTGAGGGGCTTGGAGGGTTCAGAGTCGCTGCTTTCATCACAGCCGCTGCAGCAGGTTTCAAAGCTGCTGATAGTTTTTTTTAACATTGTTGAAACTCTAAAGCGTCACAATCAGACCTCCAGATTTGTCATTTCTTATTAGACAGGCATAAAAATCAACTTGAGGATTTAAGAAAAAGACTTTTTGTCAGTGTTTTAGGGTTCAAACTGCTACCTGTTTTCATTATCAGTTAATTATTTTCTTGATTAACTGATTCCAAGAAAAGTGAAAAACTGTTTGTTTTATCCATCAAACCAGAATGTACAACGAAAAGCAGAAAAGCCTCATGATTATGAGCTACAGCATGTATGCTGTTGTTTTTACTTAAACAGTGTCCTCAGTGATTATCAAAACAGCAGATGTTATTTCCTTTTTCAGCTAATCATTTCATTTGTAAAATATATCTTAGAAAGCAGAAGGGAGTTGTAAGCGGTGGCCCTCTGGGTGCAGCTCATTTGCTGCCTTTGATTTCACGCTGGACACATTTTTTCGATTTGATTTTGGCGGAAAAAGAAGCTCGCTGCATCTCCTTCTTATTGGCAACACTTCACTTTCTAGCTGTTTAAGTGCAGAACATGCGGATCATTTCACTTCATTTAAAAAAAAAAAAATGGGAACAGAAAAGAAAGTAAGACATAAACTTGAGGATTTTTACCTCGAGGCAATTGGATTCAGCGCCAAAACTTGTAAAGAGTTTGAGGGATTGTTGCCAAAGCCCAGAGAAACGGCAGTGGCTGCTCCGTTCAGAGGAGTTTTCCACAGCGTCAGTCACTCGTGTAACTTCTCAGAGGGGTTTGTTAAGCTTGTCAGAACTTGTTAAGAAAAGTGGAGCGATGACTAGTCTGAGAAATACAGTCACCTTGAACACAAGCACCTTATATACACCAGTATTTCAAATTAATCCATGACTTCAGTGCAGAAAAATAGTTTCTCCCTGCAGACATTTAGACTTGTCAGGTAACCAACAACATAACTGTAAGTGCGTTGCACAAACTGCTGGAAAGGACCCCTGGTAATGTTATTGCTTCCACCTGCTGTTTCTGCTATGATAGGTTAAAGTGTCTGCCGGGAAAACTCTCATGAGTCAAATTCATTTAAGGAAAAAAAAAAAGGTGCTGTGATGATGCAACGCTGCAAGACTCAGGTGTAAACTAAAAACTGGACAGATGTTTGACAACTCCCTGAAAAACTGGAGATTCCCATCAAACTAAAATGTCTGCTAAATCTACAATATGTGATGTATTTTGTCTTCAAATTCACCATCAGTATAACAGCAGAGCTCTTTGTCTTCTGTGTATTGAATCTCGAGTAGTTTGGGTAAATGTTAACTTGCTTTGTATTAACCATGCTAGCAGCTAACTGCTCTGTTAGTGTTTTCAAGTAAAAAATCTTCACATTTATAGGATGGATTGCCACAAAAATTCAGTTCATACATCAATATCCTCCTCAGGAGGAATTCCAATAACTCTGGCGACCATCTGACTTTTCTTTTCACACCAGTATCAAATCCAAATTATTTTTTCTTTAGCTGTTTTTTTCTATTAATGAGCAAATATCTGCCAAACTGACATTCCCGACGTCCTCAGCTGCACTAATTAGCAAGTGGTTTGTTTTTGGACTTCTGTGCTAGCCACGGATTGGCCGCAACAAACACCATGTTCAACATAAGGTTGCTCACAAGTGTACCTGATGCGAGCTGTGTTCGCATTCTCGGCAATAAGTCGGACACGTTTCCAGTGGGTGTTGGACTCTGCCAGGGCTGCCCCTTGTCCCCGATCCTGTTTGTGGTTTTCACGGACAGGATCTCAAGGCGCAGTCAGGGTGAGGAGGGTGTCCGGTTTGGGGACCTCAGGATCTCGTCTCTGCTGTTTGCAGATGACGTGGTACTGTTGGCTTCATCAGACCGTGACCTTCAGCACGTACTGGAGCGGTTTGCAGCCGAGTGCGAAGTGGCAGGGATGCGGATCAGTACCTCCAAGTCCGAGGCCATGATTCTCTGCTGGAAATCGATGGATTGTCACCTCCGGGTGGGGGGGAGTTGCTGCCCCAAGCAAAGGAGTTTAAGTATCTCGGGGTCTTGTTCACGAGTGATGGGAAAATGAAGCGTGAGCTGGACAGGCGGCTCGGTGCGGTGTCAGCAGTAATGTGGGCGCTGTACCGGACCGTCGTGGTGATTCGGATGCCTCCAGAAAGGCTTCCTCTGGAGGTCTTCTGAACACATCCACCTGGGAGGAGACCCCGGGGCAGACCCAGAACACGCAGAAGGGATTATATCTCTCGGCTGGCCTGGGAATGCCTCGGGATCCCCCAGGAAGAGCTGGAAAGTGTTGCTGGGGGGAGGGAGGTCTGGGACGACCTGCTCTGCCTGCTGCCCCGCGACCCGACCCCGGATAAGCGGAAGACAATGGATGGATGGATGGATGGATGGATGGATGGATTGGCAAATATTAGCATGCTAACATGCTAAGCTCGGCTGTACTTAGGTACATCCTCACAGAGCTGTTAGCATTGGCTCTAAGTCATGTTAATTTACACAGAATGGAAATGGAAAAGCTGTTGTACGTACAGACACGTGTTTTTATGTCATTAATTTTCGGTTTGGCCTCTTTGTTTTGCTAGCTTCCTTGTATTGTAACTTTATTAAATGAAGACTTAATAACAGACTATGTACCTTTGCCCTCAGATACTCTAGACCTAACGTAACGGTAACTGTTGTTTAACCTTTTTCAGACGCTGACAGTGACGATAAAAATCCAACAGAGGATGACGATGACACAGTAGAAGAGGAGGAGAAATCTAAGGTACCTTTAAACCCCGAACTGATCCTGTGTGGCCATAAACCTCTCAAATAAAACTGCGTCAAGAGCAGAGAGGGAATAAGACACTGAAAATAGGAAAATATTCAATGACAGCAATCGCTCCTGTGTGTCTCTTCACTCAGAGCACAGCGAGCGGCGACTTCACCGCCGAGCAGAAACCTGAGGACGATGCGGAGAAGGACCAAAGTGACGCTGCTGCCCTCCCCGACGCTCACACCGGTCAGTTGTTTTCTAAAATGAAAACACGTTGTTTAAATCCATGTCTGGTGCATCACGTTTCACCCAAACATGCAACCATTACAGACGTCTTTTAAACAGATTTCTGGCAAAATACAATATTTTATTTGCAACCTTCAATTAGTTTAAAAACAAACAAACAAAATAATAATAAATAAATAAATACAAAGCAGCAAATCATGTGCTGTTTCAAACTCACTTTTTTAAAACACTGTGATGTTACATTTTCTCCATTTCTTATTATTTTTATTGTCTAACCCCTAAACAATGTATTTTTATCTGTTTTTCTTGTAGAGTGACTTTCCTTTACAATTATTTAGACTTGTCCTTTTATCGTTTATTCATCTAAATATACTATTTTGCAATATATATAATAATCTTTTGTGAAGTTAATATCTGTTGTGATAGTTAAACCTGGAATAACTGATTTTTTTGGCCACATGAATGCAGCAGAAGCTCATTCTGAATACGACACTGACACAATTAAGTTTTCTAAGGTTGTTTGTAGTAAACATTTACAGAAGCAGCAGTTGTGGAGTCTTTATTGTGAGTTCTCCAAAGCCCCGTTTTCATTCATAAAAACATGATATCCTGGAAAAGAGACACGCAACACGTTTTACACACTGGTTTGGTCTCACCTCACTGTGTGTGTTAAAGTAGAAATACACCTTTTTATTTCTTTTTTGTTTCACTATGAGGAGGATAATTATGCAGATATATGATATAAAAACAAAGTTACAATGCTAGAAATATATGCTTTAACATTATATATGATGTTTTCTCCTTTCAATGCAATGTGTCACCTTTTTCTGTTGCAGAAGAGCGAGCAGACCCAGAGGTCTCCATCATCCTCAACATTCAGTCCACAGACAGCGAAGCAACCGAGCGAGAAACCAGCCAACCGCTCCCTGAGGAGGCTGCCGAAGGTTCCAAAAGCCCCAAGAAGAAGAAAAAGAAAAACAAAAAGGATGTGAGGACGTCCACTGAAGACGCATCGATCACAGAGACACCCAGCACGGATGCTGCCAACGTAGATACACTCAGTGATGCTCCTGCTACCAGCAAGTCTGCCAAAAAGAAAAAGAGAGACAAAATGAAACATGAGGAGGTGGCAGAGCAAGAGGAGGAGAAAGAGGAAGTGCCTCAGGTTGATCCACCAGAGAAGAAGAAGAAGGCAAAGAAGAGGAAAAGGGAAAGAGATGAAGTGGAAGGCGTGGAAACTCCTGTCGCTCCCTCTGAAAACATAATTAAAAAGAAAAAGAAGAAGTGTACAGATGTGGAGGAGGAGGAGGAGGAGACGGTGGAGAATCCTGAGATGACGGAGGAGGTAAAGAAAAAGAAGAAGAAGAGAAAGAAGAACAAGGAAGGTCAGCAAAAAGAGGAGGTGCAGTCTGAAGAAACCCCAGCAGGGGGCGACAAAGACACAGAAGAGACAACGGAGGCTGCAGGTAACGAAAGATTAAAAAGCTTTCAACCTGGGAGTTTTCTTTAATAAGTGATAACTTTATATTTCATTTGCCCTTCACTCTAAATCAATAGCAGCAGATTACAAAGTTGCTGAAGTTTGTCTTCGTCTGCTCCTGTAGATGGAAACTCTTCTCTGGCCAAAAAGAAGAAGCGTCTCAGGAAGAAGCTCAGTCTGAGGAAGAGATTACGACTGCAGAAGAAAGAGGGCGTGATGATGATGATGATGATGAGGAAGACGAAGAACAACAACAACAACTTCGCTGCAGGACAAAACCTCTCAGGGAAAAAGAAGTCAGTGCTCAGTTTTTGTTTCTTCTTGAAAACACACATGAACACTGCTGCCACTGTGCAGCGGTGAAGACAGAGAGCAGCAGAGATGAGCATTGTTGACGTCATTTATGGGCAAATATTGACATCCTGCCCGCTGCTTGGCACAAATGTGAGCGCACATCCCTTAAACTTCACTTAGCCCAGCATTTGCAGTCCTGACTGCTGGAAGCTTCCCATTTCCTAGATAGAAATGATCAGCGACTGCTGGTTATCTTGCCACATTTCCGCTGCTTTTCACCCTTAAATTAGTCGTGCTCTTAGACCGGCAGAGCAGGAGGCTGGACTCA